CACTGAGTGAGGAAGCACTTCCACTTTCCTGTCATTGGATGACTCCAGCTTTTGTTGATTATGAGAAAAACACCTCTCTTGTATGCTGTATGAAGGGAATGCTGCCCTCAGTGGACCCCCTGCAGCATGCCTCTCCTGATATTCTTACAGGGATTGGTTGTGCTTCTCTGCACCTTTCCAGTTCTACCAGTGGAGCCTGTAGGGTTTTGAGGGTCCTTGGCCAAGATATTCTCAATGGGCCCCTTCTCACCACTATTCTTACTAGCTGCTACTGTTTCTCATCCTCTGTCTCATCATTGCTACCACTTGCTTCCTTGATGGAGAGCCAGTAGGCACATCTTCCTCTTGCTCTCCACTATTGTCGACTGGTCCCGAGTGAGAAGCAGGCTGGCTGTGGACCTGTAGAAGGTGCCTGTGCCTGCCTATCTTGACACTGGCTCTGAGCTGCACAATGCCCCTTTTAAAGTCAGTGTGGTGTAGTGGTTAAGAGCATGGAACTGGAACTCAGATGATCTGGGTTCTAGTCCCCACTCAGCCATGAAGCCAACTGGGTGACTTTGGGCCAGTCACAGACTCTCAGCCCAACCTACCTCACAGGGTTGTTGTTGTGGGGATAAGATGGAGGAGGAGAATGATGTAAGCTGCCTTGAGCCCTTTGTAGGAAAAAGGCAGGATATAAATCGAAATATAAATAAATAAATAAAATAAAGTCTGTCGTGCAAATACATTGCTGTCTCTGAGGCTTGCTTTTAGCAAAACTCACTGGCTACTTGAAAGTGGTGGGATATAGCCCTGTGTGTGCTCATGCACATACTGATTAACTTGGAAGTAAGTCCCACTAAGTTAAATATGACAGCTGAAGAGGTGTAATTCCAGTCAGATGCAGAAGTTACAGGCAAACAGGTGCCGCTTCAAGCCGTAAGACCCCCATGCAGTCAGGACAAAATTTTGTACAATACAGCTCTGTAAGCTTTCATTAGTTTCTTAAGTTAAGGCAGAAAGAAGAGAGCTGATGTGGAACTGGAAGCTACCAGCCTCCCTGTTTTAGGGGACTGGGCTCCTAAGTCCTGCCCACAGTGTAGGTCTCCAAGTGGTCTCTCGGGCTGCTAGTCTCTGCCCCTTGGATCTCTAATTCCCATCCCCTCTTTCTCTTGGAGAGGCGTCTGCATTTCTAGGGTTTGGGAGCCCTGCTTGTCCCCCACCCAATTTAGGAAACAGCTTGATGGCTGCCTTCCTCTCACTGCTTTTCTCTTATCCATGACACTGGCACTTGTCACACTGGCAGCATCTTCTCCCTCCTCATCTGATTCAGAATCAATTTCCCTTTCTTAAAATATGTTTGCTGATGTGTGGGGCCCAATTCCTGCATAGGCAGTTAATTTTGGGTACCATGAAAAGACAGTGATGTGCACAGCCCATGAATTGTTCACACAGCTGGATTAACAAACCATCGTTCAGCAAGAACCCATACTCAACCTTGAGTATGGGTTGTCATGCTGTGTGAACCAAGGCTTTGTATCTTTACTGCCAGATGGGGGAATGTGGCTCATATGATTTTCTTCTTCAGGAGCCAAAACAGTTTGCCTAAATCTGGGTAATGTGTACCTTGAAGGCATACGTGGAGGGGATTTGCTGGTCTACCTCCAAGAGTGAAACAGTTTTGGCCCAACCTTCTTATGGAAGCCTAAGAATACTAAAGAAAAATAAAAGTCCTCCAAAGGCTCCAAAACAGGACTAAATGCTCAATTGAAGAGGAGCCTTGCTGTTTCAGACAAAAGGTCCATTTCATTTTAAGTAATTCTGATTAGCTTCATAGATTGCATTATCATTATAATTGTTTTACTGTTTTATAACTGTAGTATATAAACATATGAAATTGATAAAATATATTTATGTACTGTGGAAGCAGCTGGGAATCAACAGATTTTGAAAATATGTCCCAAAATTAAAGAATGACGACTCAGGTATGCACCTCAAGAAAATGCTCCCTTGCTTTTTTTTCCCTGAGCTATTTAAAAATGTTTTTACAAGCCTATGAAGATACTATCATGTAAAATGCTATTGATGTAACAGAAAAGAAATGTAGAATTTCTACTCAGAAGCCCTACTGTGTTCAGTGGGACTTACAGGTGTGTATTTAGGATTGCTGCTTTAGCCACTCATTAGAGCTCACCCGTCATACTGCAATTTGTCTGTTCAAGGTGTCTGTAGCATCTGTTACTCTAAATCTTCTCCTGTAATTCCTGGTTTGCAGATGAGCAAATAACAGGTTTGAGCAAGAAAGGTCAAGCTCACAGAAGAGGCCAAGTGAAAAATAAATGGGCCCAGTTGGTATAAGCCCTGTCTGGACTGTGATTTATAGAACCTCAATTCCAGTGAAATCAGTTATTACCACAGTTGAAGGGTTAGAGTATTAACTCTTTTCTGCTTTTACTTAGTGTGCTTAGTCACTGGCTAAAAGTGATTTTCATGGGATTACTTATGTAATGATGAACTGTAAATGTTCTGAATAGATTCCAAAGCATGTTAGCAGGCAATACAAAAGAATTTCTGCTTCCTGTCCCAAAGCATGGCAGACTGTATACGTAAGTCAGTAAATGGACAATTTGGAATGCTCTAAAAGGTGATTAGACAAACTGATGGAGAATACGGCTCCAGTGAACACTAGCATCACAGATCTGAAGGTTTTGGGAAAAGACTGCGAAAACTAGAAATAATTGAGAATCCACCCCCACAATTTCCTAAAATCATTGGGAAAAAACCCCATGTTTTTGCATATGTGTTTCGGTCCTGTTCTTTTTCAGTTGTACCCTCCAGGCCTTCACATCTGTAGTTGTGATGGTATATTATCATCAGTATGCCTCTCAGTGCTCAGCACTGGGGAACATGGCTGGGAGGATGGTATTGCACATGTTCTGCAGATGGCTTGCCACTGAAGCAATCAGTTGATCACTATGTGAATAGAACAATGCACTATTCCATTGTTCTATGTGTTTCTATGTCCCCTGTAACTCATAGCGAGGCCCTTATTTCTTCAGGCTGAAATGTGTCACTGTCTACACCAATTAAATACAGCAAGCAACACATTTGTATTACAATGTTTAATAAATTCAAATCTCACATTTACAAGTTCACACTGGTGGAACATGAATGTCTACTGAAACACTGCCAAACCCCCATCAGTATTCTCAGGTCTCCAGTGCTTTAAGTTACAGTTTGTCAACAGCCAGAACTAAAAAAGAAAGAAAGAAATACAAAGTCTTCAAAATTTCTCCTCCCTGCACCTGTGGAAAGTTCGTGCGCTAATGCTTTATCTAGATGATAGCTGACCTTGATTTGGATATTTTGATTCCACACAAGATGGCAGCTAGAGATGTTGAGGTTGTTGTATTTTTCCTGCCTTGAAAACTTGCCTGGATGTTTCCTACATCTGTCTGCCTTAGCTTGATATGCTACTTACAGGAGACTTGGCTTAGCAAGGACTTCTGCTACAGCTTCTTTGCTTTCTCACTGGTGGGACTTTCTGACAGCTTTGCTGGCTGCTGAGGAACCCCAACACACACAAGGCTCTCCCAGCTTGTTTTCACTCTGTACTCTTACAGTTTTTTCTCTCCCTCTTATTTTATACTTTCTTTCCCTTATTTTGCCTCAGCTCTGAGTATTTCTTACGGTTAGTGATAAGTGGACAGCAATGGATCATCTGGGTGTTGCAGGGAGAAGAGATCAATACACATTCATTATTTACAGCTGCTGCTTTTTGCCTTCTATTTGTGAGATGGCTTGGAGGAATGATAGAGAGCAGATAAAGTCTCAGAAGGTGAATCATTTCCTGACATTGCAGAGACAATGAGCTGCTCTCTGCAAGCTGCCAGGCCTTAAGCATCATTCTGTGCTCTGCAAAATTAAAAAGGTACATTTTGGCATTTAATATGTATTATTTCAACGTATATCCCACTTTTCTACACATAGCACCCAAAGTAGCTAACAAGAATACAAATGCAATTACGTAACAAATACCAAAGGGAATTATATATAGCACAATCTAAAGTTATTTCCTAATGTAGATTAATATTGTCATGTATAATATTAACTATGATGACTACAGACATGTCTACTTCACGAAATGTACTTGTGGCAGGAAGCCGATCATGGAGTGCTTTTTGCAATCAGGCACATTCCTCTCAAGTGACACTGTACCTGAAAGGTGGGCATACAGTTCCCTGTATAACCGTGATTTCTTTGAAGGATCATGTTTGCCATATGAGAAGAGGCCCTAACTGTTCTATGCAGATGCTTCTTGAATTCTATTCTAGTTGGATTTAGAAAAAATAGACACTGGCATTTTACTAGAACAATGGAAATACTATGAAGTGAACTTTAAAATAAATCAGAAGAGCCTATCATGAAAAACTCAGTTTAATAACTGATGTATTACACTTACATTTCTCCAAGGAGCTCAGAACAGTCCTGCATTAGGTCTGAGCAGACCCAGACTTGCTTAGTTTCCAGAAGGGTGCCAAACCATGCGCTTTCCGCCAATGTTAAATGTTGTGAGCAGTGTAGACATCCATGAACAGATTTCCCAGCAGCTTATGTTTAAGACTCGAAAGCAGGTATATGGGGCATGGAATTGGGTGAGGGTTGAGGACCTAGGTAAGTGGGCTTTTAACTAGGAGAGGGAAAAAACAGAATTGCCCAAACTGTACTAGTCCTCTTCCCTCCATGGCCAATAACTGCTTTGGTGTCATGATTACTTGAAGGACTTTATATTGCAATCTCAGCCCACTGGTACATGACACTAATAATATGCACCCACCTACACTCTCTCTCTCTCTCTCTCTCTCTCTCTCTCTCTCTCTCTCTCACATTAAAAACATAGATTGTAGTGGTCCAATTAAGAATCTCCCATGTCACGTCCAGTTGGTCCTTATTTGAAGTATACTCACTAGCTCACATACAAAGCACTTAAAATGACTGAAGTTAAAATATAAATGTCTTACCAGTTAATAAAAGTGCTGTGGTATGGGGGAGGATTTTCACCAAAAGTTGAATCACTTGTCACCAAGCTAGGAGTTATGGTTTGCAGCGGACAGTCAGCAAAATAAGGTGGTGGAGGTGGAGGGAACACCATTATGGTATCGCCTACAAAAGAAAACTTAAAATTTTAAAATAAAATTCTTCTACATATTTCTCTTTGGAGAAATATGCAAGATAGCCTTACTTCAAGTGTAAAACAGCTTTCCTCAATGTGCTGCCTCCAGATCTGCTGGACCACCGTTTCCAGAATTCTCACTAGCTATGGTTTTAACCAGTTAAAATATGAGCTAAATTTGCACACAGGTAAGAATAACTGTTCTGCAGCATAGTTTTGCCCCCACCATTTGGCTTTTTCTTCCTCCATTCCTCCAATCTGACAGTTCTGCTTCTCCTCGCCTAGGACAGAGCAACCACAAAAGAATGCAGCATCCCTCCCTCCCACTTTATCCCTTCCAGCTGCAGATAAAGTGCTGACACCTACAGCGGCCTACTGGTAAGACTACAAGGCTGACCTATTCACTTACCTACTGTGACTTGAAATGAATCGGGGTTTAGTTGGTCTTCTTCATTTACTGAAGATTCTTGAACAATATTTAAGCTTTGTTTCTTTTTAATGTGAGCTATCACAAAGAAACATAACCCAATAAGCACAATCAAAGGACCCATGGTTTGAACAGAATGAAATCCACAGTCTTGGAGTTCAACACTGGAGGTATTGCTGTGATTAAACTGCTGGTAGTGCCATCCTGGGCTGCATCCAGGAATCCAAATGCCGAGGACACTAATAAGCATGCCACTTGTTAAAAATAAAAACCCAAAGACAAGGAATTGAGCAAACTGGCAGTTTCCTCGGCAAAAAACAAACCCATACACCTGATCATCTTGCAACTGCACCTCTCTGAGGTAGCCTTTCGCCCTTGACTGTGCCAGAATTATGCATACTAGTCCAGTAACAGCAAGCAAAGGCCCAATGATTTTAAGGGCTCCTTTACAATCACCAAAGGCTCCACTTGGACATGTCTGCAAAACGAACATTGAGAGGAGAAATCCAGCACATAGTAATGTAATGCCAAAAACAAAAAGGAAAGAAATAAGTTTCCTAGGATGTCCATTATCTTCTTCCACTCCATGCATAGAACTAGGCACTGGATACATCTTCTTAATCTTTCTTCAAGCTAACTAAGGTAGAATGTGTTTTCTTCTGTGGAGATCAGAATGACATAACACTTCAGTAGATCTAAGAATTAAAACAAAAGATGACTATATTTATTTATTTAATTTATTAGATGCCCATATTAAAAATATTTCCTTGTTAAACTAGAAGGCATAAACCAAGAAAATTACCACCTGATTCTATCCCTGACTTATACCTGCTGAGCCGGACTAGGATTATTCCTTGCTTCACTCCCTTTGAGATAAGTTGAAAGTTCAAAATTACTTCCCCCTACCTCTGTCCTTCTGTCCCACTTTCCATCAGCTGCAATGGTGGATAAGAGTGTGGGCATGTTTGGCAAAGATGATGGGGCTCACTGTGGCTTTCTCTCCCTGTCCCTCCTCTTTGGTCCCCCAGCTGGTATCCCGGTGTCCTTCCCTTATCTCTTTGGTAGGTGCACACTTATGGCTAATATGTGTAGTCTTGCTTGGCCAATGGCCTTGTAAATTTCAGCTCTCAAAAGGAGTGGAGGAGAAGGTAATATGCAGGAAAATTGACAATGCAATGCTCCATACATGCTAATTTTCTCACAGTTGACAGCTGCCATTTGCCTGTTGATTGAAAAGTAATGGTCAGAAACAAATGAAAATAGTTGGACCAAAAGGGGGATAGTGATAATATCACATGTAACTATGCTATCTTATGGTTTTTAAGTACTGAACTGACAGTCTCACACTGTCCTCTACCATTTTAACATTTCCCCAAGTTTCCAGCTACAAAAAAAAAAAAAAAAAAGTGGGGGGGGGAAGCACGCCAAGCACACTTGTCAGAGCTGCTGTTACTATGAGTTCCTGAAAATTCTTTAAAGATGCTGGGGAGGCAGCTGAATGGTGCTAAGTGAATAGTGCCCCACTGGTGGGCAGGGAGGGTATAAGCACCGCTAGCACCCTATTCTCTCCCTCCTGCACTGCTGCACCTAAGATTTTTTGCTTGTTTTTTTTAACTGTCAGGAATATTTCCACCTCTTTTGGTCTGGGAAACATTTACAAAGTGAATTGCTGGCAGTAAATGGGGGAAACATTTGGCAAATAAATGGTAAGTAAATACTGGCAAGTAAATGGTGGGGAGAGAGTTAATATCTCCCCCTTCTGAAATGTGGAGGGCACTAAAAGTTCAACACTAAGGAGTCATTGTTAAGTGGGTGATATTGTTCCTACCTCCTTTTTTGTGCATCTACTTTTGAAGCTTTTTACCCTTTACTTTTTTTTAACTGACAGCTAGCAACGGCAAAAGAAGAAGAGGATGGCAGAGAATGAGGTGGCTACGTAGATGGAGTCACTGAAGCACTCACATGAACTTAAGTGGACTCCAGGGGATGGTGGAAGACAGGAAGGCCTGGAGGAATATCGTCCATGGGGTCACGATGGGTCGGTCGGACACGACTTCACGACTAGCAACAACAAAGCAACTGTGCAAATTAGCTTATATACAGTCTTGTCATATCAATCTTTTGCCTACTCCATTTCCCTTTGAAATCTGAAACTTACAAGGCCATTGGTCAGGCAAGATTATACACTGGACTGCCATAAATGCACACTTGTGCACCTGCAAAAGACCACACAATTTTCTGGGGCCAAACGAGAAAGGTGGAAAACCCACGACAGTTGCTCTAAAGTGCCAGCTGGGCATCTGTGGAGGGACTCTCACTGGTGACATCACAGAAAGGATCATGGAGAGAGGCAAGGGGTTTTGTTGCCTTCTCCCAGAAGGTTGCTAGTTGTTCCTAATGACAGAATAAAGCTTCCAGGTTCAGATGACACAACAATGCATCATGTGTCAATGCAACACTAGAACATGGGTTGTCAGAGTAGTTGTTCCAAGCCACCCTGAGGGTCTGGATGACTCATGGCCTAGTTACCCATGATGGATTGCTGTGATTGTCTGTGAAGACAAGGCACAATACAGGCAAGCAGACACGAGCTCATCAAGAAAGGTAAAGTCATGCATTCCCTTTATTACACCTCCTCAGGAAAACCCCCTATCAGCAGCTAGGTTTTCCCTCACTTGTTTCAAGAGTTCAAACCTTTGCAAAGAGGCTCTTTATTGTCAAAGCACAGTTAGCTAGCTACAGCAATGGAAAGACTAGTTCCTGTGCATGAACAGAGTGGTTAGTTGACCCTGAACTAGAAACTACTTCTGAAAACTCTCCTTTTCCTTTATGCTGGACTCAACCTCCATGGGTGTCTCTCTTTAGAAGGGCCAGCCCTTGAGATCTACGCAAGCTTTCCAGCTGGGTAGCTCTTCTCTCCTGACACCCTCTCATGGGATCAGGAACTGGGAAAGACATCCGCTTTATCTTCTGACTCTCCTTTGTTTCTTCACTTCTCTTTCAGCCATGCCTATTCCTGTGATCTGAGAATCTGGGCATGTCAGCCTTGAGACAGTCTCACCCTCCTTTGCCCCTTCGATTGCCACACACTCCATCTCCGGTCTTTGCTGTCCTGATCTGATGCGTTGGTGCCACCCTGTTCTTGTAAAAGGCATCAAGGGTAACCGTCTTGTCCATTTCCAACACCACCAAATTGCAGACTGGCCATAGAGTACCTCCAGCTCCTCTGCAATTAAGGGGAATTGTCCACTGCCTAAAAAGCCTTTCCATACTCAGCAGCTGGCAGCAGCACTCCCCAAATGAATGACAATAGGCTCCTGCTGTCAAGCAAACCTTTGATCGCTAAGCTTTGCTTTCTGTTGTCTTCCTGTGCCTCAGGAGCAAGATCTTGGAGACAGGGTTACTGGAATGAGAAAGCTACAAGCAGAGGTGTGTGTGTAACTCAATCATGACCTTAAATTATCAAGGAGCACTTGATTTGCAAGCACCACTGCTCAGTGACATCCCTCATATGGATCCCTCTTGCTAGATCAGGAAAATTATTTGTGTTTTAATAAAACTATAAAGTTTATTCAGTAGGTGAGCTGTAGAGAGATGTCAGACATATGGTACTCTATAGTGGTTATGGCTGAACTCTAAATGGTAAAAACCTGAGTTCAAATGTAAATAATACAAACAGCAATAGAGCTCACTGGGAGACCTAGGGCAATTACTTTCAGACTGATCTATCTCACTGTATTGATGTGGGATAAAACTGGCTGCCTCCATGCAAGCTGCATAAACCACCATGGGTTACAAATGTGATAAACAGATAAAATGACAAGGAAAGCAAATACCACAGACAGAATGAGGGAAGCAATTATATATCCCTAGCAAGTGGGAAGTCCAAAGTCCACCTGTTCTTCACTTGTGACTGTTAAAATGGATTGAAAGAACTAAGCAGTGTGCTTGTAACAATACTGGTAAGTTAAAGTGTAAGCACTCAGATCTGTACCAGGTATCTTTATGGCTCCGAAGATATAACAAAGTATGGAAGAAATTTGGGTACACTAGATACAAGCTGATATTGTCTGAAAGGAGAATAGCCATTGTCACAGGATAGTATTGTAATTTGCTTTCTCCACCGCAAAACCATTAAGTACAAAGCAGGCCAGGAATCTTCTCCTACTCTCCCCACACCCTAAGGTTGATTCTACGGGAGAGCATGAAGCATCAAGGGCAGGCGCAAGCCCCTGATCAGCTGCACTCCCCTGCTCCAGCATTACCTACCACTAACTGCCTTGTGGGAAGGATCCCAGGCAGGCAGGCAGGCAGGCAGGCAGGCAGGCAGAGGTCTCTTCCAGCCTTTGCTCCAGCTGGACTGCCCCTCTTTTCTCCCATAGTGCTTCCTACTGTCACATGCCCTCTAGATACCAATGTCTGTCTTAATGTATTGTTTGTAGTAGTTTTACTAAATATATCCTTATTTTACTTAAAAGTGGCCATGGAAGGATTTCTATTCCGAAAAGTGGAATAAAAAGGTAAAGGTTTCCCCTTGACATTAAGTCCAGTCATGCCTGACTCTAGGGGGCAGTGCTCATCTCCGTTTCCTGGCCGAGGGAGCCAGCGTTTGTCCGCAGACAGTCTTGGTGATCATGGGGCCGGCATGACTAAACACCGAAGTGCACGGAACGCTGTTACCTGCCCACCGAAGTGGTACCTTTTCATCTACTTGCATTTGCATGCTTTCGAACTGCAAGGTTGGCAGAAGCTGGGACGGAGCAACGGGAACTCACCCCATTGTGCAGATTCGAACTAGCGACCTTTTGATCTACCAGCCCGGCAGCACAGCAGTTTAAACCACTGCGCCACCTGCAGTCCCTGAAAAGTGGAATATATATAAATAAATATGACCCAGAGTGGGTGAAATAGCTGGCCTCCATCTTTCTCACTTGGATTGCATAAGAAGCTCTATTCCATGTGAACACTCTTCTCATAAGGCCATTTTCCACCCCTTATTTCCACCCCTTTGGAGTACACTTATTACTTTCTAAACATCTGCCCTCTTTGATATAGAGAACTGCTACAAAGCTGCTGGAGCTACAAAGTAGATAGTCCCATCTGTCTGAGATACCTTCAGCATTATCACACGTTGGCCAAAATACCCTGTGAAGAACTCATGTCAGGAGTGGCAGTATGAGAAAAGTGCTGAGGAATACTCTAAACTAGTGCATGATGATATTAATCTCTTAGTGTCTTCTCGGTTCTTCTCAGTGTCTTTCTAGAAATGGTAAGGTAGTAGGGTCCACAGGGTCCTCCTACCTGCTGTTTGTTATTTTTAGCCCTAATAGATTAAGGCTTACTTCTGAATACTCATATAAGATTACATTGTACAATTATTTTATTTTGTATCACATTCCTTTATCAGGCACACACAACTGAAATCAACCATTACACCCTAGAGTAGGGACTTGGTCAAACAAGGTTCATTGTGGCAAGGCAGTGGGTGGGGAAACTTTTTCAGCCCAAGGGCTGCACTCTGTGGGTAACCTTTGGGGAGCCACATGATAATAGTGGGTGGGGCCATCTCTTCTCATCCAGGCACATGCATTCATGTGTGCATTCTCATTCTCCCTCTCTCTTTCACACACACACCTTTGCCCCCCTCCAGATGCTCATTCTGGACTCCCCCGTCCCACATATGCAGCAATCACGCTTGAAATAGCCACCCATTGTCTCAAAGGGAGGCTTTTTTCAGGTTTCATTACTGAGCAGCAGAAGTGTTCTTCACAGAGTTATTGGGTAAATTATCTAACAGTTCATAAATATATTATGGATAATCCAGATCTAGCTCCATAAGATTCTCAGAACATCATGGCTATTTACTAAAAGAAAATAGTACCCATGTTCCCTAATGTCAAGAAGTTGAAAAGAATGTGTGGCACCTGGTAGGAGCATAATTGGTAGGTAGCTCCTGGTAGAAGCATAATGTAGCATAATTGTACTCATGGTAGCTTATTGAAACAGAAAAGGGTACTTGCTTCCCGATTAGTTGTTCAAAGAACTGTGGAGGTCAGAAGTCCTCTACATTTAATTTAGCATAGCAGATCCCGTGGTATGCCAAAGAACAGGACCTGGATATAAGTAAAAACATTGCATCTAACATGCCCTACACAGAATGCCTGTGTATGGAGGGTTTAGCAAATTCAGGACACAAGTTAATTGAGTGTAACAGGCCTAGGATTGCAGTCTAAATTTAGAGAACAAACAAACTGTAATGACTTCTATGGAGTTTCTTTCAACCTGTTGTTCTCTTTCCACTTTATCACAGTGGGCAACCAAGTTTATAGTTCAAAATAGGAAACAGAATAAAGCATGAAATGAAGCTTTTCATCCCTCTTCTAAAAAGGGACAGAAATTAAGACTAGGACAAATGGAAGTAATTAGAAATGAGATAAAATCAAATGTATAAAACTATCTAAAAGAAAACATGTGGATGTTTTATTATTATTTTTTTAGAGGATGTGTCTTTTACTCACCAGTCTTGTTGAAGTGTAATTAGAGAGACACAGAAGGGAAGTCAGGCATATTGTCTTAATTCTCTCAATGTCACAAAAGAAAGAACACATAGAACTCTCTGTTGTGGCTTCACAGTGAAAAAATCCAGTTTCTATGTAGCAAATTTTACCTAGTTTTGCTTATTATGAATTGTTATTGTTTGACATGTTCCTTTTACTATTAAACATATTTGTTTGAAGTTATAACAAAATGTGTTAAAATCCATATCTGACTTTTCATTAAGTCCGCAAAGCATGCCATCACCATAAACTGACTAAGTTTTAATGAGGCTTGTGCCAGTAGTATTATCTGGAACCTAGAATGTACAAACTACCTAGATTTAGCCATAGTTTTAAGGCAGGAGTAGGCAATCTGTGGCTGTCTGGATGTTTTGGTCAACTTCTATCAGTCCTCACTACTGATATTGGCTGTGTTATCTAGTATTGATAGAAATTGTAAGCAAAAACATTTGCATGGCCCCAAGTTGCCCACCTCTGTTTTAAAGACTCAGCACACAGTGAAGAGGCAAACTAGGGCATTAAATATTATAGCAGGCACTAGAACCACATGGGTACTCATGGGAACCACACAGTCAAAACAGCAAGAAAGATTAAGAAGTACATTATGGCTACAATTCAATCTGTATTTACTTAATCTAGCTTACACTGGATAGAGTTGGGTCCCAGGTATGGCCCAAGACAACAAATAAATCTTCTGCCAGTTCTCAGAAACTAATACATTAACTATAGAACAGAGGTTCCAACTAAAATAAATTGTGCTTAAAACCCATTGAAGCCAATGGATCCCTAGTCCTAACTAATCAAAGATCCAATATTTTCAAGGACTTAACACCTCAATCCTATATGGGCCCACTCAAGAGTACAATATTCAAGAGGACCTACTCCCACGTAAGTGGCTATAGGATTTTAGTGTAATTATACCTGGATGTGGGTCAGAATATGAGATACCATCTATGTACAGACTGCCAATAAAAGCAAGGGAAGCTACTAGGTTTTTTCATCCAGCTGCCATCTATTAAAAAATATCTTGCAGAGCAGTGTATGCATATGAGTGTATGCATATGAAACTAATTCGAACCTACTGAAGTTTTAGAATGAAGCCCTGCTGTGAGCCAAAGTAAATATGCATCACCCCACAACAAATTCAGGAGCAGTGATATGCTTAGTCCATCAAGAAACCCAAACAGGACAAGGTAAAAATGCCACAACAGAATGAGCACAGGCTCCCATCTGCAAAAGAAGCAGGAGAAATGGAATGGTGTGCATTATGTACCTTCCAAAATGTTTAGGTTTATATTGCTAAAAGGGAAACAGTACAAATCCAAGTGGCTTGCAGATGTTACAAGAGCACTGACATTTCCCACTTAATAGGAGTGTTACTGGTAACATCTGAAGGACATCTGAAGGAGATACCACACATGAACAACAAGCAAGTTGCATAGATATAGCCTGTAGTCTTGCACAAGTTCACTTATAAGAAAGGGTGAGTAAACCTGATGGTAGCATTTCCTCATTAATGCCCAGGAGAATTAATGTCACACGCCATGAAAGAATCGTTTAAATATGCCTCTGAAACACACATTTGTATGTGATTCATACTGCATTAAGTAACTTTTAACACATTTCTCATGAGGGCTGGGTAGGCAACCTGGTAGTGTCCAACTGTTTCTGTATTACAACTCCCATAATCCCTGCTCATGGCTATGCTGACTGGGTGATATGGGAGGTGGAGTCTGAAACATTTGGGAGGTGTGAGGTTGTCTGCCTTTAGAGTCAGCCTCACTGAAAATCTAAAGTGTTACCCTGAGCTACTCATCTGACATGGCAGCAAAAGCGGGGCGATCCAGTCCTCAATAGGACAGATCGAAGGGCAGTGACCTAATTCTGGCCTTTACCAGCAACAGCTACAGCGGCCTTCAACACTTCTGGAGGGCATCAGGATGAAGGCCGCTGGACACACACAGGACAAAAGCACCTCAAGAGCAATGGAAAGGCCAGCCTGGGGCATGAGGCTTCGGTGCAGAAATTTCTCCGACCCGGAGGAAGACGTCCACGGCCCGCACCCCTCACGCTCTCGGCTGTGAGGGAAGGAAAACGGCGCTACGGGAGCGTCATCTGTGACACACGCACCCCGGCAAGAGCAACACCAGGGAGCGGGCACTAGCCTTGCCCGCAGCGCCACGGTGATGTGCATGTCTGAACCCGCCACCCCACAGCAACCGCCACGCATCCAGCGGACACGCCGAGGCGCCTGTGCTGCTATCCAGCCGTTGCGCCGGCGCCGTGCGGCCTCCGGGGTCCTTCCCGCGCGACCCCTCCGAGGGCTTCCTATCCCAGGAGCGGAAAAGCCCCGGTCCCTCCAGCGGAGGGCTGCGAGAGGCGAGCCCCTCGAGCCGACGTCAGGCGTCGCCATTCCTGCCTCGAGCTCGGGCGGCAGCTCGGCACCGCCTCACCCGCGCCGCTGCCCAGGAAGGAGGTCGCGCCGGCGCCGGTCACCAAAAAGCGCCGCTGTTACCTTGCAGCAGAGCGGCTGGTCGAGCGCCGCCTCTTCCTCCTCCTCGCCGGCGGCTGGTGGTGGCCGAAAGGTGGGAGGCGCTGACGTCGCTGGGCTGGGGTGACCTTGAGCGGGAGGGCTCCCTCCTCGCCCAGGTCCTGCCTGCTGCCGCCCGTCGCCCCCCAGCAGAGTCTTCTTCCCCGTCCGGCGGAGCAAGGCAAGCGCGCCCTCTGGGGTGACGGAGCCTCGCAGGACGAACGAGCGCGGAAGGCGCGCCTTACAGCCGCAGCGGGAGAGAAGGGCAGTCTGCGGAGACAGAGCAGGAATCTTGGGGAGCTTCGGCTGCCACGCAGAGGCCCGCGGATGTCCCGCAAGGTATGCAGAGAAGCTGGGCAAGCAGGCCGCACGCGGCCGAAACCCCCTGCGGGTCCGCGGGTGCACGCACCAACCTGCCAGAAATAGCAGCGGGAGTCAAGCATGGAGCAGTGCACTAAAGCAAGAAGTTTGCATCATTTTCCGAATTTAATGTGCCCAATGCAACGGGAAAGGACCGAGCAGGAAGGAGCTAGGATTTTACTGCATTTTTTTCGTTTGGGCTCTCCGTGCCAAAGACGTTGCAAAACTGCCTTTTGTTCAGCATCAATTGTGAAGTTAAAAAGTTAAAATTAAGAACTGTATAAGTAATTATAGATCCTTCAGGTGGCCTGTATTTGGAAATATTAAACAATGGAATTGAAGTCATAACTTAGCGCTCCTGAACCATGTAGGACGCCATTTGAAGAATACAAGCCTACTTCAGGCTTACTTGGTGGTATCCTCTGGCAAAGGCTTAGTCTTTTCTATGGGCCAGAAGCTGAAGTAAAATGGTCATGCAGATAAGCAGTATAAAACTTCCAGTTGTTCAGGAAATTTTAACAAAGCCAGCATCATCTAATTTCAGGGCTGCTTGCCAATAATTTGAGATACAAAAGATGTTTCACACAAATGGCTTTTCAATTAATAGTTTACACAATCTGCATTCTTGGAGGTATCCACACTGCTAGTAGAGTGTAAAATTGGTCCTTTGTGTAATGCACAATTGTGTAATGCACATGTAGAAGATACAAAATATATAGCTGTTTCCCACACCTAAACGACTGGTACAAATGTATAAATTGGAATGATATTACTTCTGTAAGATTACTTCTTACACAAACCACATGATATAAAACATTGGTCTTCTAACAGCAGGGAAACTGCACTAGGATAGACAGAAAAGTGCATCTTGCATCACAGGAATCTTGAATCTCCTGGGTTGGTACATGCTGTTACATAATGTGTGACATACATTGACTAACTTAGTTGAAATACACGTGTACTTAATGGAGTACTACTTCTTTAGTGTCACCACTAGCTGAAATCAACTTTTATAATGAAAGTGTGCTTCCAGACAAGGTTTTTATTGTGCGATCATTCTGCCTCATTCATGAGTATTAGAATGTCTAGAAGTCATTTTCTGCTTGTAATCTTACGTTTTACCACTGTTGTTTTCACATTTTGCCTTTCCACAAACTAAGAGGAAAGGATTGTTGTCTTTTGCTTGATAAGGGGAAAGGATGGAGTAGCAGCATTGGGAGTAGTCAGTCTAGAAGCACCACAAATACTTGTGATCTGCCAATTCTCTTCCATTTCCTATTGACAGGTTTCCAAATGATAGAAAAAATGTGCATCTTGTGCTGGCTGTTGGCTAAATTCATCTGTTTGTTACTCGGTTTGAGGATATTTTCAGTTATCAGTATGAATGGTTTCTTGAAATCTGTTAGTTGATTGCATTAATGACAACAGTGGTGTTTATAGGGCAGGATGGTGCAGGGTTCCAAAACAGCAAGCCTACACACAGTGCTTGGATTCTGAGTTGTCAGGAGTTTCAGATAACAGCATACTGTACAACATTGTATCATAGCTCTCACCTGTGTCTGCTTAATTTTTATTGAGATCAAAGAACTGGGAAATCCTCCAGCCACTGTTTGTTCAGAGAAGAATAGGGGATGCAGAAAGACAAGTTGTTTATAGCATAAAGCTTGGTTTAAATGCTTTCCTTTCCTTCTGCGATAGTTTTTGGTCTAATAAGGAAGCTCCCATATAGTTTCCCTGTCTGATAAGCCCCTACAGAAGGTTGGCAGTTTGCTAGGAGGCTCCTAGAAAGTCTTAAATACTGTACCATGTTATACGAAAATCCAAACACCTTAGATCAAATGCATTTCTCCACAAACTATCAGATTTCATGTTAGAAGAATGCCGCTTGAATGCCTTTTTTGATGCTCTGATGCCCACCCAGGGACGCACAGCCGGGCCTTTTGCAGGGGATGGGGTATGAGGCAAGACTGAGGGAACTGGGTCTCTTCAGCCTGGAGGAGACTCAGAGGGGATATGTTGGTGACATACTGGTATGTGAGCGGATGTCACACGGAGATGGGTAGAGACCTGTTCTCCCCTGCAGAGGAAGGCAGGACGCGCTCCAACAGAGCCAAGCTCAGGGAACCAAGGCTCCATTTAGATGCCAGGAAGCACTTCCCGACAGTTAGGACCCCAAGGGTGTGCAATGGGCTTCCATGAGAGGTCGTTGAGGCCCCATCAGTGAGGGTGTTCAAAGATAGGATGGACATGTGCATGGTGGGCATGTCGTGAGCGGAGCTGGCTGGTGCCAGAGGTCAGACTAGATGGCCTGGGAGACCCCTTCTGACTCGCTCTGTTTCTATGTTTCTGATGCATGTAAACAGCAAGAGTCAACTTAAAAGTTATATATTACATGTTTATTATAGGGTATATTTTTTACATTTTGTTGAAAGATCAGATGTATTTACAATTTTTCTAAGATTTATATTGCTCTAATTTACAGTTCATAAGAAACCGCAGACCGTTTAAAATTGTGTTTACAAATTCTCTCAAGATGCAGCTACAAAGATGATCACTTTATAAACAAGCAAGATCCAGCTTGCTACACACCATTTTCATCAGATAGGTTTATTTTTTACAGTTCTTAGAGTTCTTTACAAAATTTCTATATAAACTTGTATGGCTTCAAAATTGTAACCTGCACCCCTTTGTGAATGTAAATTTGAGAACATTTAGTAAAAAGGTTAGATTAAAAGTGCTGAAATTTAGCATTTGCACTGATTTACAAATATCACATGATTAAAAATGGAGAATAAGTTGAATTTCAATAGTAAAATAGTCAACTGTTTAAATAGATTGGCTTGCAGATTACAATTAAGATTCCAGTAAAAGCCTGTTCCATTTGAAATGCCAATTATTTTAAAGTTCCAGTAAAAGTTCAGTAGAGACTATCATTTTGGAATGAAAATGCAGTATATATTGCTGCAAAGAAATAGTTAAAATTTGTATACAATAACACAGATGAAAAACAAAGTAATAATTTGACTACAGTCAATAATCTATGCATCAATTTGTTTTGAACTGAAGGAGTTTGGCATTTGGATGTGTAGGTGTAGAACTGCACACCAGATTGGATTATTTTCAGGGTGGGGAGGATGAGAACTTCAATGGGCTAATGATCATTTTTTTTAAATAAAAATCCTTCAGCCATTTAATCTTTAAAGGTAAGCCAGAGTTGATTTTGCTCACCCCCTAAAAATAACTGATAGTTCTCTCCCCACAAATGTTATTGTTGATTAATGATTCCACCGTAAATCTGGTGATATTTGGCCTAGCCTAAGTATAAATTCCTTTGAAATCAAGAAAATACATACACCTGTTGTTATCTTCTACCTTGTAGTGGGTTAACATTCACCATACTTTAAATGGTTATAGGCATTATATAAACATGGTTTACACATTCCAAGTTTGCAAGGTTACGGACACCCACATCGGATAATACCTGTAACTGCTTTTAATAAATGCTTTTTCTAGACAATGGAATTCAGAAAAGAATTTCCATACAGTTGTTGGTTACAGAATTCAATTATTCCCACAACTTTCAATTATACCATTTAATAAGGTCTTTACAACATAAGACATAGCATGCTTTGAAAATAGCACTTTATACTAAATATTATCTTGGATTACTTCATTTGTTGTTTAGACCTATTTTTAATCACTGTGTTCAAAGCAAAGGGCTAAAAGATTAATCCCAACGTTCAAATGTTAGTTGACTGATTTAATTGAAAATACGAATTAGAATTTTAATTTGCTCAAAACAATCTTTTAAAATCATGTCACTCCTCGAAAGCAACATTTACATTCATGTCATATATTTGAAATTTAAAAACTTTACAATCAAAGGGAAATTCTACAATTGTTGTTTAAAAATATAAGATACCTTCAGATTATACACATCTTTGGTGACAGTGAAGTTACATTTTGATTAAAAGTTGTGTGTGGCGGTGTGCATGTGTGTACCCACAAAGAAGCAAGTCCCTTTACACTGGCTGTATTTATTGCAATTAATCTATAAAGAAGTCATTTAATATTTTAAAGGCTGTTTTATAGTTAATTTAAGTTTCCCTTCTAAATCCCTGCCTAGGGAATTATGTAGTTGAACATGTTGCACAGAAAAGCACGATGTTTTCCGTGTGGAAGATAAAAACACTGAAAAAAAAAAATAAGAGGCACCTTAACATTTTGACAGGCACAGATTTAAAAAGGCACAAATGTTACACTTTTCATATAAAAATAAATTAATCTACAGCATTAAAATTACAACTCTCATAAAGTTAACTAATAGCAGAAATAAACATTTGTCTGCAACTTAAAAAAACCCAAAATTGCACTTTACATTTAAAATCATCTTATAAAATAATGTACATTTAATTATATATGGTATAATGGGAATCAAGTTATTTTGTATACATATCTCTTAACAAGATATGGAACATGAATATACAAGAGTGAAACAAAAATTACTTCGCCACTGTTTTGTTTATGGAATGGCAATAATGGAAACTGAAAAATAAAAGAGTAATATGTATAGAAAGCTAAAATATGCTGTGGTTGTTTACAGTGTCATAAAGCACCACACACTTTAAAAACCACAAATAATTGCTATTCGGACTCTGATGCTACATCAGCATTAAACCTCTGAGTAATTCTGTCTCTCTGTATTGCAGTCAATCTTGTACAGATAGTGTTGGAGTCTGCTTTCAGTGCTATTACAAAATATAGAATATTTCTAAACAATTTATTTTAAAAGTGCATTTTTGTTGGATATAAACTCCAAAAATTATGCAACATGTTTTCAAAAATTTATGCATGTTAAAATAGTGTTGGAAAAGTAATAGAAGACAAAATGAATTTCTGCCCATTGAAGTGACTATATTTCTTCTCAGGCTTTTCAGCAATCTGCCATATATCTACCTGAAATACACAGAAAAAGCTTTGTTGTTAATACCATTTTGTAAAGTAAAAACTTCAAACAGCTACACTGATTGCTATTATTTACAAACAACTTTCTTCTTTAAAAATGAATGCATAATGGCGCTACATTTTTAAGTAGCTTTCCACATGTTCACATACCATAGGAAATGGGCCACTGCCCTGATGAGTGTGAACACCCCAGCTTTCATCCAAATGTCGACGTCCTGCAGTTCTGTGATCAGCCCTATCCCCTACTGAACTCCAATCTTACATGAAGGTGGAGGCTCTTTGCTTGCTGTAAGGCTGAGGTTGCTGAAGAACTTTGGTCATTTATGGTCAAAGTCACTTGCCACCTTTTCCTATAGTACTACACAAAAAGGAAGCAGGGGACTTCCTTGACCGCTCAATTACTAAATGAGCAAGGGGGAATAGGAAAGAGTCAGGCAACTACAATGTTTGGCTTGGCTGTCAGCCTACAAAAATGTGTACTCATTGCTTATAATGCATATACTGCATGTTTTTCAAGAATTAAAATGAGTACTCAACTAACAAAGTGTTTACAACAGACTTGTTTGTAAAACATACACAAGTGTTTGTCATAGTGAACACTGTAAAAAGTAAAGTGGAGATGCATTTCTAAACACATTGTTCATGTGCCATGGACTAACATTCCTGCATACTCCTGCACACTCACTATAAATACAGGATATCTTCCCTTTGCACTTATGTAGGCTGATTGACAACCCATGCATATTTAGCAAATGTGTTTGCCAAGGAAGTGCTAATCCTATGGCCTGCTATGATTAATTTAATATTAGGATTCTTACCAGTGGCAAACCTCTTCTTTATTAGGGAAAGGCGATAGCCTGTGCCTACTAGTTCAACATCTACTCCTGAAAGAGTACTTCCCTCACTGATAAATTGCACTGCAAGTGTTGCTGGCTTGCTGGGTCCTTCTGAAACTTCAAATTTAGCTCTAAGGGAGCCAGAACCTATTCAGGAGAGAAAAAAATAAGAAAATACTCAAGGCAACAGTCATACAACAACAAAAAATTTAATACACCAAAACATAATACAAAACTGAATAAGGTACATCTCTTGCATTAACAGTATTTATGGACTAACTTTTAGGCCCTCATTTATAGACGTAACACAACTGGACCAACCTTTTTACAGCATTGCTTATTCTCCAGTTCTGCAGAATTCCTCCACAACCCACCCGGCTAGTAGTGGCATTACTACTTCTTGGCAGTTGGAATATGCATAAACATTCTTAAGCACTTCAATAGTTGAGCCAATAGTAAGAGATGTTTCATTTCAAATACTGCAGCCAGAGAACTTAAAGCCTACAGTTGTAGGGTACAACCTGAATCTACCTCATATTTTGTTGAGTTTATCTGATTTGGGGGGATAATAAGTTGTAAATATTATTTTTATGCAAATCAATATAATTTATACTTTTATATGCTCCCTTTCTCTGGCTAAAGTAAGCATCCTAAATATTATTGAAAGCCTTCTTTGCTACTTCGAATAAAGTAGCTTTTAGAGAAAAGTTAACAATTTATCAGGAAAACAGCCAAGTGCTATAAACACACTGTCTATATCTATAATCTATACCATCTCTAGGACCCAAGCAGGGTCCAAAAGAATGTTTATGTTTGCATAGGCTGTTTGTCTTACATAAAAGACTGTCAATTTATAGAACTTCCTTCTTTCATTTCAATTTTGTATCACTCAATAGCCAAGGTTCTATGGGCAGTTCACAAAAATTACAACTTACAAATACAATGTAATAAAAACATAATATGAAATGTATTTTACAGCATGTTTAAAATATTATATCCTACACATTTTAAGGGTAATTTAAATAGGCAAAGATAGCTATAATAAATACCAGGTCCTGAAAAAAATAACTGATATTACATGCCCCATCATATGCTATTAAATGTGTGGAACATTACCAAAAATATGACAAAGTTGGCACCAAGTTAATGATTATAAATGGAAAGTAACCAGAAAAAAAAAAACTATTCTTACCTCCATTTTCTGACTTTTCTGAAAGACCAGATAACTTCCAAAAAGCTTTCATCTGTTCTGAATTCCTGTAAGAAAAAAGGCAATGTTACTGAACTTTGAGTACCTTTAGTTTTTCAAATATATTGTACACTGGCAGCACAATCCTATACATGTCTACTTACAAATTTCACTGAATTCAATGAGACCTATTCCCAGAGACTGCAGCCTAGTAGACACTAGTACTAGGAAGGTAAGTGTCTAAATAGAAGGTATCTGGGCAAATAAAGTTAAATCCAATATCACACAACTTTATCTATGTTTGTTCAATGGAGCTCCCTTGCTCTCCTCCCTCTGTAGCACCCATATGCTCCCAAATCTGCTTGAGAGAGTTGGGGACCTACAGAACAGATTTGTGGCATGCAATGGGGCTGCAGTGGGGAGGAGAAATACATTCTGCTAGTGGTTTCCATTCTGTAGATGGATAGATAGTATTATTACAACCCATAATTAAAAATCACATTTATATGGGAGATAAGTGACAATGAAACATGAAAAAGAGCAGACATGTGTACACTAGCACACTCTTGGCTAACTAAAGATTCATGAGAATGGGTTACATTCAATCCTCTGTCCCTTCAAATCAAGACAAAGGAAAATAATATAAAAAGAGTAAGAAAACAACACCCCACTACGGAACAGAACTGTGATCGCAGCCATCTCCCCACGCCCCAGAGTGGGGAGATGGACACAATCGCAGTTGCTTTCATGCAGGGAAGGCATGCCTGATCAGAGGCACACTCCTGCAGGAAAGATGGCCATCTCCCCCACAGCTCTGCTTTGCTGCTCCCATCTTTCCTGCAGCGGCAAACCTCTGATCACACACGCTTTCCCTGCACGAACGCAACTGTGATCGTGGGATGGCTGCGATCTTGGTTGCTACCCAAAGTGGTGTTCGCGACTCAAGTCAAAATTTTTCAGAAAATTTTTTTCGTGACCCAATTTGTTTGTGAATCAAGGCATTCATGAGCCGAGGTACTGGAGTGAAACACATTTTACAAGGATTTCTAAGGCTATAGGAAATGTCAGACCACTGATCTACATAGATATAGGCAACAGAAAGCTTGGAGCTCATTTTGCACCTGTCCCCAGAGGTTTGTTGTTTGACTTTCAATCCCATTAACTTCAGTTGCTTTCCCTCATATGAGCAAAGCAAAATAAAAAAAACCACACAAATACATTCACAATACTCTTTAATTGCTTGACCACCATTGTGAACATCAACTGAGGCTATCAAGACACACATCTATCACAGCTGCAGACACTTGTGTATGAGCAAAAACATAGACAAAGGAAGGCGACCAACTAAAGAGCACAGGATCAAAGGCTTGATTTGAATGCTTTTCCAGCATGGAAAACATTAATACACTATTTGCATGTATTGAGCTCCACCAACACTGAGGGCAACATTTGAGATTGCAGCAGCAGTTCCTATGCATTTGAACACATGGGATTGTCTCAAGTTCTAGTAGAAACAGGAATGTAATGATCCAATTTTAACAGCAAAGAATATGTACAGGAAGTGAAGAACTTTCCACTGCCTCCAGCTTCTTCCCTCAAGGATTTTCTAATGCTTTGCTGAGAGAAAAGGCTTAAAGACGTGGACTATAGTTAGACTTAAACTGAGGGAGCAGAGGACATCATAAAAAACAGAAGACATCACTAAAATTAGGACTGCTTTTCACAAATGGTTTTAGAAGGTAGTATAATAAGTAATAGCATCATTTCATACAATATCAATTTTTTTTCTTTTTCTTGTAAGCCATCTCAAGACACTTGTAGTGGACAGCCTATAAAAGCTTTTAATGAATGAATGAATAATAAAATGAAAAAATACCATTTTGCTGGTGGGAGCGATTGCATATTCATTACACCTCCATCAACTGGAACCATGACCTGTATGTTAGACAGCATACTTGGCACTGCCATAGAAGCTGGATTGTATTTGTAATCAACTCTGACATCAGTAGTGCTGGCATTGCACTTCCAGTACGTGGCAAGATTCAAAGGTGTAGACTGGATGCCATTTGACAACACCTTGGAAAATAAACAAAAATATTATTATTCGATGTTTAGTCTGTCCCACCAAAGTTCTTCAAGTGTGTTAGGCAATACATAACAGCATACAAAAAATAAAAGCAACATTGGAAAAATACAGTATAATATAAAAGCAGCTAAAATGCTCAGATGAAGAAGAGCTTTGCCTGGTGCTAGAAAGAAAATAGTATGGATGCTAGGCAAGTCATTTTGAGGAAGGAATCCTACAAGCAGGGTGCCACCACTGAGAAGTCCTTTTATTATTGATCTGCCTAGCTTCATTCAGCACCTGGAAGAAAGCTCATAAAGATGACTCAAGAGCCTGAGAAGGTATACATGAAAGGAGACATCCCTTTAGATATTCTGGCCCAATCCAATAAAGGCTTTACAAGGTCAACACCAATCCTTTGAAATGGCTTTGGAAACTGACTGGAAGACATGAACAAAGCACTGTTGACAAATGCTCATACAGACCAGTCCCAGTTAGAAACTTGGCAACTTTGTTCTGGACTAATTGAAGTTTGTAAACTGTTTTCAAAGTCCCATGTACACTGCATTCCAGCAATTCAACTGGGAGCTTACCAAGGCATAGATAACTATATCTGCCCCGAGATAAATAAATATGCAAAATTTATTTTAACAAAATTCCTTTTGAAATGAAGATACCTAACTACTTCATTCATAAGCAAATAAATTAGAGCCTTATACAGTTTTATTTTCCATATGTGCAGGATTATTAAGTTCCAGTACTGTGCTGCATTTTACAGAAGTGTTATATATGTAGAAAGTAAATGGATTGTTGATAACATTCTCAGCTCCCACTATCAAAATAAAAAATCTTGTTACCTGATATTTGAGAACATCTACGTTATAATAAGAGGCAGAAGGATTCTGCTCTGATAGCTTCTTGAGGTAGACTGTGACAGCTTGCATGTCCATCCAAAAATCCTTTGTATTGGAATCACTTTGTGATGGATCACTGTGTGAAAAGGCAAGAGTGAAGATACAGGGTTTAGTTTCTTTTGTACACTAGAAATGTTTTAACAACCAACACATGTTAAAATCATTTTATCATCTTCTTAGGACTGCTTCTATGAACAGGGGGTTAGAACCTGGGCTTAAAGCTTATCTAAAATAATTGTTTCTCAGTTTTATCTTCTTTTAGTTTTGTACACCTGTTGATCCTTTTATTTCTTGTCTCGTACTGTAAATAAAGTTTATTGTTTCAAGCTTGGGTGGGCTCTGCTTCCACATCAGGTCCCAGTACAAAGTACAGAGCCTTTTCCTTTGTTCTCCCTAGTGTTTAGGGTTTTGGCTTGGGGCAGAGGCAGAGGATTCTGTCTGTTTTCTTGGTTCTGTTCCCTTTTCTCTGGGTCCTAAGGATATTCAGAAAGGTCCAGATATCCTTTAGCTTGGACTGGGCATTTGTACAAGGGGTAGTGGCAATGTGTTTGCCCACTAGTCACACTTTAGGGTGCAGAGAGTTTAGGGACAACCCCCTTAGCCTCCGTCTCACAGATCCCACCATTCCAAGAGAGTGATCAAGCATGCCAGTAACAATCACAGAGAATGCTAGAATTTGAAGTTAGCAAGAAGTACTCCTGTGGTCAAGGTCCCATAATCAGAAGCTGGAAAAAGACCAACTTTGCCTCACTCAGTCTCTTCAGACATTTACTATCCTAATCTCTTTAGAACTGTTCAGTTCTTCACTCCAGAAAGGACTTGCATATCATGCTACATATAACTAGTTATTGTTGCCAACCAATCTCTCCTAGAAGAAATATGTCTTACTTTCCTTTCTCTTAGCTTGTGACTCCAAACCCTCTAATATAAATATTAACTTGTAAAGGGATTACCAAAATTGAAATGAGCATGATAGGGGGGAAAAGCACAAAATATACATGTAGTTCAGTAAATTTGCATGGTAAACCAAGCTACTGGGTAAGCAAATCCAGATACAGAAAGTGGAAATACACAAAGCACATGGTTTGCTATTAGATAAAAAATAATACAAAACCTGTACACAAGTTGTGCATTTGGAAGAATCTGCTCTAGTTTGCTTGTATTTTTTACCCTGAAGCAGAGCACAGCTGGAGATGGATTGCTGGTGAAGACTTTAATAATTCCACTTGGGAATGAGACTGTCATATCACCAGTGATCTTCACAATACATCTAGAGAAAATGCAAAAATACAAACATTACTTTTGCAACAAGTTATTTGATGCATGCAACATTCTATAAGTATGTAATTGGATTTAGAATGCATTTTAACTGTGAACAAGTATTAGTTAACATTTAAATTGCTAATAGTGAACTCCCATACATGTTTCTTCATGACTCAGAACTAAGTGACAGGATTTGGTCAAGCCTTAGTAGCTGGGCTGTTGTGTTGCATGGCTTATGCCAAGGTTAAATAACTTAAAACATACCATGGGTTTGCAAGGGATATTTTACCTTATATAAGCTTTGCTTGCTGGGTTCACACATGACAGCTACCCAAGCGAGAATTGCTCATTCAGTATGGCAGGTACATGTGCCAGGGCCGTGAGTAACTCAGGGCATGACTTATGAATTCCATCAAGCTCAATGAATGAAACCTTGCTCCAGATGTCATTTTTTTCTGACATGGCCTATAGCATATTAGGTTGGTATTCTACTTACAGAGGTTACGTTCACCCAGTTTGGGGGGATCCTCAGACCCTTTCATAACCCAGCCTCATTCAGCACAGTCCCCAAGCCATCAGAAAAGGCTATTCTTTTTTTTTTTTTTTTTTTGAGGGGGAAGGATATTGGAAAGAGAAAGAAGCCAGAACCAGCTTCTGTTGGCCCCTTCTGTGTGCTTTTCTTGGGATCCAATCTACAATAAATAACTAAAGAAATACAAATACCTTTGAAAATCATTCTGAAATCACTATAGCACTAAGACAATTTCTACAGGGAACTCAAGCAGCAACCATGAAGCTCTGCACTCCTTGCCCTCTTCCAAAAAAATAAAAGCCTTGAAAAGCATTAGGGCACCAGATACTTGATCCTGTTCTTGAATCTCTCAGTTTTTAAACACAATCAGTTGTTCAGTGGGCA